ACAGGGTTCATGACTGGGCACGCCCCAGTAAAGGGACACTTGAACAAAATTGGCATGTACAATGGGGAACTCATGTGCCGACTATGTCACAAGAAACCAGAAACGGCCAAACACATACTGTGCGAATGCGAAGCTCTAGATCGCAAAAGACAGGCTCTTTTTGGACAACCCCAGGTTGATCCAACAACGTATGGAACCCACTCACCCAAGGATCTGTACAAACTTGTACAAGGTACAAAGGTGATAGTGTGGGTGCTATGAACTAACATGGGGTAAAACACAATAAGCCAATAGGCTTCAGTGTTATTCGGAGACACATAGTCAGACGAGCCCAGGAGAGAAAAAAAAAGTAAATTACAAAGCACAGTAAACAAATTGTAGGCTTGGCTTTGTTTAGCTATTGTCTTCATGTTCAGCTCTATTTTTTTGTTAGTGTTGTGGCTATTGTGAGCTTTGTTTTAAATATAAAATTATACCTGTAAGTTATTTTCCGATGCACTATTTTATAACTGTTGCACAAAATGTTTTTAAACCGCCCCTGCATCTTGTTTACAAAATGTGCAAAATGAATTTGTGCATAATGTCTATCATTAAGATAAAATAAAGATGAGATGATATGGATACTATAAAAATATCCGCACTTCTGCAATACACTTTTACATCATGTAAAACTCGAGCTCCTGGAGCTAGTCAGTTTAAGTAAGAATAAATACTATTGTTTGTTAACTTCAAAATTCGACTTAAAGTCGCCATTTTGATTACACTTTTCTATCACTCAAAGTGCGTCCACTTGTCGTATCGCAAAATAGTGTTTATGTCGTCTTTACTTCATTCTATCTCGATAGTATCTATAATTTTTCATTGACAGTTATCATTCTACCCAACTCCACTTCATTGCATGTTCCGTGTGCGTTGACTGTGGCGCCCACTTGGCAACGAGCACAAATTATAAATTTACTAGTATTGTAGGTTTCCCTTAAATTAAATTTAGGCGGTAATATCAAAAATCTTAGCAATGAAAATTTGTAACTTGTAACTTGTACACTTGTAACTTTGCGAAAAATATCGAATTAGGTACAAATTTACAGACTCATTAACTATAGATTTATATTCTGAAAGGAAAATATTATTAAGCAGATGGTATTAGTAAATGTACACAAAGAATATATATTTTATATTGCAACACTATCTCGTCGCCCCTTTTTTCTACTCAATTATTCCTGCAATACTGGAATAATAAAAAGAGGCAGAGGCCAGAGTCAGACGAACGCGTGGATATGAGATACCTCATATCCTCACAACAGAATAATGCAACGTGACATGAAACTTTACATTTTTGGGTATGGGCGCTCTCGGCATATAGACTTAAATTAATAAGTAGATTAATAAATTCTGGCTTTTTCAATTCTTTTAAAACTTCAAATTGTTAAAAATAAAACAAAAATAAAAAACGCGGCGGCGCCTATCGGCGTCGGAAAGACCGGTGCCTGTCGGCGCTAGGACTGACGACTGTCGACGCTTGGATCGGCGCCTTTCGGCAACAGAACCTGCGCCTGCAGGCGCTTGTGGAACCGTCGCACCGGGAAATGTTCCGGTTTCCTGGTATGCCCATCCGTCCCTGGATCCAGATTGAAGTTTTCTGTACAGTGATTTTGTAAACCAGCATCAACTAGCTTACACAATTTTTTTGGTTAGATTCATAATAAAACGTTACACCCTGTACAAATAAATAAACCCAGTTTCCTTTATAATGACACAAGCAATAATTATATTGTGACGCGAAAGCCGTATCTGTTCCTTGTTTACTCCTTACCCGCAAAGTCTAGCGCTGACCATATAGAGGCGTTATACGTATCAAGCTAGCAGAGCACCTTTGGATTTTTCACATTCTGCTTATGCGATAATTGTAGGCTCACTTTAGGCTAATTTTATACCAACATAAAAAAATTTCCACTCCTTTCTTTAACAGAAAAAATAAGTGCTCTGCTAGCTTGATATCAAGCTAAAAATTATAGCTAAAAATCATAGCTAAAAATTATTCCGCTCTTTTCTTTATAGAAAAAATTAGGTACTCTGTTGACTTAACACCAGACACTTATTGCGTTTTTTATTAAAAAATTCAACAATGTAAAAAATGATAACGGCATAATTTTAGGCTCATTTTAGGCTAATTGTAAACTAACATTAAAAATTTCCGCTCTGGCCTTTATCAGAAAAATTGGGAGCTATGCTAGCTTGAAAATACAACAATAGTGTTTTCAGTTAATAAAATTAAGGTAAATAAAAAATAGACACGCCATAATTTTAGGCTTCGTTTAGGCTAAATTAATATCAACATAAAAAAAATTCCGCTCTTGCCTTTATTTGAGTTTTTCGTTAAAAAGTTAAAATATCTAAAAAATGGAAACTTTTGAATTTTAGGCTCATGTAAGGCTAATTTTATACCAACCAACCGAATTAGGTACTCTGTTGGCTTAAAATGAGCCTAAAATTATGCCGTGTCTACTTTTTAGTTTCCTAAATTTTATTAACGGAAAACACTATACAGTCGTATTGTCAAGCTAGCATAGCACCTAATTTTTCGATTAAAAGCAAAAGCGGAAAATGTATAGAATTAGCCTAAAATGGGCCAAAAATTATGCCATAATCAATTTTTACAGTGCTAAATTTTTAATGAAAAACGCAATACGTGTCTGTTCTTAAGCCAACAGAGTACCTTTTTTTTTTTCTATAAAGAAAAGAGCGAAAATTTTTTTGGTTGGTATAAAATTAACCTAAAATTATGACGTAATCAAAATTTGAAAATCCAAAGGTGCTCTGATAGCTTTATATCAAGCTGGCAGAGCACCTAATATTTCCTATAAAGAAAGAAGTGCATAATTTTATAAGTTAGTTTAAAATTAGCCTAAAATGAGCCTAATATTAAGACGTATCCATTTTTGAGCTATTTCAATTTTTTAACAAAAAAACTATAAAGTCGTATTGTCAAGCTAGAGCACCTAATTTTTCGGATAAAGGCCAGAGTGGAAATGTTTTATATTGGTACAGAAGTAGCCTAAAATGAGCCTAAAATTATGCCGTTTTCATTTTTTACGTTGCTAATTTTTTTAATGAAAAACGCGATACGTGCCTCTTGTTAGTCAACAAAGTACCTAATTTTTTCTATAAAGAAAAGAGCGGAAAAATTTTTAGGTTGGTATAAAATTAGCCTAAAATTATGACGTAATCAAAATTTGAAAAATCCAAAAGTGTTCTGCAAGCTTGATATCAAGCTAGCAGGTCATCTAATATTTCCTATAAAGAAAGTAGCGAAATTTTTTTTATGTTGGTACAAAATTAGCGTAAAATGAGCCTAAAATTATGACCTATCGTTTTTGAGTTATTTCAAATTTTTAACGAAGAACTCTATAAAGTTGTATTGTCAAAGTAGAGAGCACCTAATTTTTCCATTAAAGGTAAAAGCGGAAAATGTTTTATGTTAGTATAGAATTAGCCTAAAATAGGCCTAAAATTATGACGTGTCTATTTTTAAGTTTCTTTAATTTTATTAACGGAAAACACTATATAGTCGTGTTGTCAAGCTAGCAGAGCACCTAATTTTTAGATAAAGGCCAGATTAGAATTTTTTGTTGGTATAAAATTAGCCTAAAATGAGCCTAAAATTATGCCGTTATACTTTTTACATTGCTGAATTTTTTAATGAAAAACGCAATTAGTACCTGTTGTTAAGCCAAGAGAGTACCTAATTTTTTGTATAAAGAAAGGAGCGGAAATTTTTTTAGGTTGGTATAAAATTAGCCTAAAAATATGGCGTAATCAAACTTTTAAAAATCAAACTAGCAGAGCACCGAATTTTTCCTGTAAAGTAAGGAGCGGAATTTTTTTTATATTGGTATAAAATTAGCGTAAAATTAGCCTAAAATTATAGCAAACTCAGAGTGTTGCGGCGTATGAGTTATAGAGAGGCAGTTCTCGATCGATCTAAGAAGCCGAGAATGTTCTAGTATAGAGCTGGCTTTTTATAAATAGTTCGAGTTAGTCGACGGAAGATAAGTTTCAATTTAAGTACTGTGTAGAAAAGATAAATTGTAATAAATAAATTAGAATAGTTATAATAGTGTTTAAGTATTGTATAAATAAATTTTAAATAAAGTGTTTTAAATAAATAAACTATAAATAAATTAAACAAACGTTAAAATATTAAATTGAATATCTTAGATTTTTATAAAAACTAAAACTTTTTCGAAAACATCAAAATTTCTCTTGAAACTTTGGGGTCCCTTTTCTGGACCTTCACAAAAGTTGTGCATTTAAGAAACGCTTGGTAAATGTCTAGTTTGACTACTTTTCAATAATGAAAAAAATTAAGCTTACGTACAGTAAAATTATAAGTTCTTAGACAAATGAATAATGTCACAATAAATTTTTGTAAATAAAAATTATGTCATTTGTTCAATTAATATATTTACAATTTACGGAACTGGAACGATAAAACAACGTCAATAGTTATAATATAAATTAGTTGTTGTGCTATTTAACAATAAATAATTACGTTAGTCAACTTTTGTACAACTTGGCAATAGCATAAGAGTAGCAACTCGGAGCTTTGATTTATTTTGATTCCATGATTTAAAAGCTAGACATTTTGTGCAATCATTTCATTTTTAAAAATAAATTGTGTTATTATTGATTTGCACAAGATTTTTGTTTACAATAGTGAACCTACAAGAACGCATTCTTAGTTTTTCAAGATCCAAAAGTGGTCAAACTAGAAAATTACCATCGTTTCTTTAAATGTTCTTAATGACATAAAAATTAATCGGAAAAATCGTATGAAGCCTAGAAAACTGTGGTAATTGTGCTATACCTAGCAAGGGATACTTTTCAATCTTTCCTCGTACCAATTAACCGAAAGGATCAAGCCGCCACGCCGGCCGGTTATATTGTCCTTGCAATTTGTTTCTCCCGTTCAATAGAAAACCCACTGATTCTCCGATTCCGACTAGTCAAACCCAACGAACCAATTTGCCTGACCAATAATCCTCCGGTAGCCGTCAGCAAACTACCGCCTCGTAGACAGCTGAAACTTTAGCGCACACCGCCAAGTTATTTTTTTTAAACATATTTATTGATATAAAGCTTATTCAACTCTCGTTGATAACGTAACCGGAGCAAAAAGCCAGATAAAATATAAAACGATGCTATTACGAAAGATTATAGTGTGAGTGACAGAAGTGTTCGGAGGCTGTGAATTGCATATTATATTAGTATTAGTCAAATTTTAGTTTATTTATTTGTTGTTTGTTATTGTTATTGTTTCCGAACCATTTGGCGGCCACTATATATTTACCTTCTTCAACCTTCAACTCGCTCTGAAAGTTAAAACGGTAAGTTAACTACTTTTATATGACAAATTTCATAGCGGATCAAGAATGTTAGCCAAATATAACAATAATCCTTAATTTTAATTGTTCCGTTGGTACTAAAGAAGATCGGAATCGTGAGTCTAGACGATTTGACTACTTAAATCATATTATTCTACGATGTCCAATCAACTCAACCCCAGTTTTTGACTCCAATCTAGAATCAACTGAAACTAAACTCCATACACCATTTGATATAGGTGTAGTTCTTTTCAATATTGACGAATATAGATTAAAATTGACAATATAATTCCTTAATATTTTTTAAATTAACCTATAAAATCAAACTTCCTTCTTTTTTAATTTTACTGCTCTTACTATCACCGTTGGCAGCATTTCTGATTGTTGCGTAAAGCTTAGCTGCCACCCATGAGCGAGAAAGATAATATCTTTTTTAACTATCAAGCCCTTAAGAAGAATAATAAAGTAAAACTAATAACAGGACAATAGTCAAATGATATTGTTTAAAGAAATTTTTAATTTGGGATTGTTTTAAATGTTTCAAGCAAGACTAGAACAGTCCCTGAAGCTAGTTGAATAAATTGTTTTCTGGACACAGTAAAAAAAAAGATAATTATAACTTGGAAAAAAATTTACTAGACCACTTAGGGTGGGTTGTACACACAAACGTACCTTAATGCAAAAATATTGACACAATAGAAATTAGAATATGTAGAAAAAATTGTATTAGTAGCTAATCAATTAGGCTTTAGAAAAAATAACTCGTGCGAGATGGCACTGCAACTGACTGTAACTATTGATAGTATAACAGACTAATCTGTCATTATTTAAACATATAAATTTCCAAATTTTACTCAAATTGATGATTTTATAATGATAACCGCCTTGTTCAAGTTAAAAATGTAAATCTATCTACTCGGTAGATTTTAATAAAAATAATATAATAGAAATAACATACGATTAATATTTTTTATTTTGATCTTATATGGTTATTAAAAGGAATTCTATAAACCCTGATTAACCAATGTTTGCAAATTGATTTCAAATGTTTCAACAAACTTACGAGATAGTAAGGTATTGAATGTTATCAAAAATTAAACAAATGAATGAGTTAGTTGTTTTCCCGCCAATTTAATGCATAGGACACGTGTACGAATTTTGTAATACAATTGAATTAAACATTTGATTGGTTGATGCGAAATATGCAAAATATGGGGCGAATAATTTGGTAGTAAAATTTTAGAAACCAAATAACAGAAAGTTTACATTTGAAAAAAAATTGCAAAATTGTGGTAAAAAATTAAAATATCAATTGTAACGCAAACAACTTTTATAATTTATAATGAATACTAAACTGTATTTAAATTGCAAATTGGTTTTGTTTTACGACCTATAATCAATGCAAAAAAATAGTAACACTGAACGTGTTATTTTAAAACATTACATTAAAAAAAATATGAAATTATTTGTTAACTATTGTAAAAATATATATAGTTATTTACATTTGTTTATTTTACTTGTTTATTATGTTTTGTCATAAATAAATTCACAATGTCCACAGGCGTTATGCGCGGGCGTTTTAGATTCTAACGAGCAATTAATTTATTTACTTGTATTATGGTGGTATGAGGAATAAAAAAGTTAATATTATTAAACTAAATCATTCACTTTCAGTTATTACTGAGGATCTTCCTATGGGGCCTCAGTAATGCATTCGTGCAGACGAAAAAATTTTTTTACCCCCATTTTTTAAAACTTTTTTTCATGTTTCCGATCATTCTGAGTACGAAAATGCAAAAAAAATTCGTCTGGTCGTCTGTGTGTATGTATGCCGGCACAATAACACTAGAACGAAAGTTCTGATTGACTTACGGTTTTGATTTTCTTGAATAATTACTTCTAACTTAGAACCCTATTGATTTTCAGAATTTTCGGTTCATCCTAACTACTTTAATATCAATTTTCTTAAAATCCGCCTAGGCAATTCTTATGTGACAATTTTAGGAATTCCAATTATTTCTAACGTCAACGTTCCTAACATTCTCAACATTCCATAAATTGCAAACATTCTCTAACGACCTGTCAAACAACAGTTGTTGATAGTACAGGTGAAATTTCTAAGGCGGGTTCCGACCTTCATACTTGTAACCATAGCCATTTTGACGGCTATTTTTATTCGAAATTAGTCGCCAAGCCTGCCAATTTATTAAAAATATATAAGCAGTTTCTTAAAAATGACTTTTTTATGGTGGTGCTAACTTAAGCGTACTACTATTTCGCCCCTAGCCACAAAAACACCTTCATCAAATTTACTGGCTCTCTGTCGGAACCCCATATAATAATTAACCGGCTATTTTATTTGACAAAAAGCAGAATAATTCTTGGCTGTGTCTGTCAAGTATCAAGATGTTAACTGTGATGTATGAAACTGTATGCTTCTTTTGATATACTTTGGATATTTATTGCAAATAATTTGTAACGTATCTCAATTCAGGCTTTCCATAAATAAAGGTACAGCAAGACAAATAATATAATGTTCTTATACAAAGAACTTTTTTATTATATAAAATAGAGTTAGGATATAATGCTGGTTTTTTGTAGATAATGTTAATTATACAGTTTTGGATTACATATTCAACCAGCGAATTGTAAATAATAATTAGTTAACTCCTAGTCATAAATTTCCTCAATTCATAAAATTTAAAAATGAATCTTCTTACCTTGGGATTTTGATGACGTAATCTGATCAACCCATTTCAAATTTCAAATTTTGATCAATTATGATACCGAGGTATTTTGTTGTGTTTTTCATTTTAATTATAAAGTTGTCATTTATTTGTATGTTGAAAGAAGGCCTCTGTAAATTACATTGCTTGTTAAAGTAGATGATAAAGTATATTATCACAAAAATAGTTTTGTGGCTATAAGCTGCTATAACCTATCGTCGCAAAACTATTAATAATTTAAACATAGTAAGTAGTAAAACGAGGTAAAACGAGGGGTAAAATAACAATAAATTAAGGGAAATACTTAAAAAGGGTATTATAACAAGAAAGTATATCCGTTCTGTTTATTTATCAAGTATTGTTTGAGGTTACTTTTGAATACATTTATTATGTTTTTTTTTTTAATTTCTGTAGGCAGTCTATTACATTTTTTAAACCTTTAATAAAAATTGTATTTTGGGAACTTTTAGTGATGGCTTGCCGTACATGAAAGTCAGATTGGCTTCTTATATTATAGTTGTGATATTGTTAATTATATTGAATTTTTTCTAATAGATCTAATGCGATGGATTTATGTCATTTTTATTTTACAAATAAATATCAGTCATGTACTGAACATAATTCTGAACTGAAAGCCAATTTATTTTTTTGCATATAGTTGCAATACTCATCCTTCTGTCCTTTATTAATAGAATATAAATAGGCGAAGTAAGGAGCCCAAATATTTTACATGAGCAGGCCTAAGAAGTAAAGGGCCAATTATTATTAGATAAATTGCTCGAACAAGTTTTTAAACCCTAATCAAAAGGCGATATAGAATGATTTTAAAAATCAAAGCTTGTGAAAATCATCACATGGTTCAACCTAAGTAATGCCAATGCTTCACAAAACAAAAAAATTCAACGTCCTAATGCTATACTATCAGCTTTCGGTCTTTTGTCCAAAGTTAAATCATTTTTCGTTTTTGTTACGCTACGAGTTTACCCTTGTGGGCCTCAGTCTCGATAAGGTGGGAACCACCATTTTAGCGTCTCTCGAATTTTAAGTAGCAAACTAATACACTGGGAAACGTATGAAAATCAATCAATGTGTGCCGTTTTTTTTTTTCATGAATAAAACATCTACAGTAAATGACAGAAAAAAGAAAATTCTTATTATGTTTATTATATGAAATGGATGATTTTAATAACCAAATAAGTACGGTAGCTGTAACAGTGTTCCAATTACATCCGTTTTTGATTTCAACCCCTCTTAGACCGCCCATTTTTAATCAAAACCAAAGAGGTTCTTCTCCTTATAAAGCTTGAGTTTTGCTAAAAATTTCAAGTTGATATCATTTTTCGTTTTTGACTTAGGATATTTTTTTTAAATATTTTAACCTCCCTTTAACCCCCAATTTTTTCAGATTTTTTGAAAATCAATATGCTTGAGCTTGATTTTTACTAAAAATTTCACGATAACGCTTTTAGTTTTTGATTTTTTTTAATTTCAGTTAGGGTACGTATTTTTTTTTTTTTTTTTTCAATTTTCGTATTTTTTTCAAAATAAAAATAAAAAAATTAAAGCTGGAGGTATGATCGTACTACCTCCCGGCCGCCAGCTCTCAGTCTATAATGTTTTAATAGTGTGATGGGAAAAAGACGATTTAATACTGAACAACTATATTATTACAATATATTAAAGTCAGAAAATCAATCGATGTGAAATTTAATCTGGTAGGCTGTTATACTTATAGCGTCATTAGACCTTTGTTGCTACGAAACCCTTGAAAGTAATAAAATATCTGTCAATATCTGGGGAAAAAAGTACCTACTAATTTTTTTCATAAAAAATGACATTTTGGTATCTGTCGCAGAGGCATAAATAGAATACTAAATCCACGAAAAACAAAATTAATTTAACCGTTTCTCGGGCAGATATTGCAGATACAGAACGACTTATTACGAAACTCAGGTACGTTGCTCTGACTCTTCGACCCACTTTTTCGAAAACGGTCAAGATCGCCGTTTCTAGTGTGAATGGTTGATGCCGAGGACGAAACAATTCATTCGAAATGAAAGTGAAAATAAAAACATTACAGATATAAACAACAAAAACACAATAAAACATATGAACGCCTACGCTGGCTGCGCCGCTGGAGCTGGAATCCGATTATGATGAAGCAGAAAATCACAACACTTATTTTGTCCTGAAGAACTGTATACAGTGCAATGCTAATAATAATATATATTATTGAATAACAGTACGTATCCTTTTATTCGGAACCTAAAGTTAATA